TCTCTCTCTCTCTCTCTCGCACAAACAAACACACACATAAACACACATACACACACGCACACACCCCCATCCCCCACCCCCACACAAACATACACACTCACACACACACACACACACACACACACAAACAAACAAACACACGTCAAAGCCTACACAGAACATAACATTACTAGTTGTGTAGAACAAATTCACAGATGGGCTGATCCACGGAAACTGACACGTCACAGAACTTACTAAAAGTACTTATTTTCCAAATGACTGCGTTTGATACGATTCTATGTTTTTCAAAATTAATGTTCTGATCTTTTGAAATTGAAATAAATTCATCCATATTGAATAACAGTGTTATCGTTGTAAAAAAGTATAATCAAAATGTCCCATCAGTTACTGTGGAATGACCCAAATGGGAACAGGTCAAACCGGTTTGGTCGCGCAAACAGTGATTTTTAAAATTTTAATAAGTTTTACGGTCCTTGTAACACAAACAGGTTACTTAAGAGCCGGAGATTGGGGGTGTTACTAAAAGTAATATAGAAAGAAAAGAAAGAGGAGAGAAAATGACTATATTATTATATGTATGATAGGTAAGAAGGTGAAAACCACACCAGACCGCCCGCAAACCGCCCGAGGAAAGCATGCAACAGGTCCAAAACTCGAGCTTAAGATTGCTCTGACAGGCAGTTACAAAAGAAGCATTCTCTGTGCCGCGGAGATTTCAGTGGAACTGAAACTTGACCATGCATGTCGGGCAGGTTATTCAAAAATAATATTAGGCCCTGGCTGCAGCTGAAGTGTTCTTAGCAGTGGATCTTTAGACTATACCAGTCATTCCAGTTTCCTTTAAAAAAATAGGTGCTGGAGCGGTAGAAGCTGTGGTTCCTTAGAATACACGATTACCCGTCGTCCCAATTTTCCTGGAAAACCGTACCGGTACTTTGAAATCGTGGTCCCTGGGAAAGCAGTTGGCCTCCGTGGTTGACTCAAGTTCTAAAAATAAATACACAGGTAATGCGCACACTTGTCCTCAGTAATAATATTCATGAAGGAAAGTTTTAGATACCCGAGCTGATCAACATGACGACAGAAGGGAGCTATTTAGTTATTTTGTGGGTGGCTGGCGGGTGCTCTGGTGTGGTTTGCTACCTCTTTCCTATCAAATATCAGTCGTCTTTATCTCTTCTCCTTGTGTGTGTGTGTGTGTGTGTGTGTGTGTGTGTGTGTGTGTGTGTGTGTGTGTGTGTGTGTGTGTGAGAGAGAGAGAGAGAGAGAGAGAGAGAGAGAGAGAGAGAGAGAGAGAGAGTTACTTTATTGTAACACCTCTTATCCTCGTCACTTATATGACAAGACCTACTTGTGTTGCAAGTGCCGTAAAATTCTTACGAAAATTAAAACCAAACTGAGTTACCTTCACAACATGAGGGAGCCATTGGGTTTCCTTCATTTTCTCGCATGTTGACTCGGGTCTAACTGTCCCTTTTAACGACTAGTTGAGGCCCCCCTTCTTTAAATAAGTTGTAATCGTCTTGCTTATACCCCTACGTTCAGTATTATCTATACATCTATAATATATTTGTGGTGGCCGAATTTTGCTATTCAAAAGGCTTTTTAATGGCTGCGTCGATCGACATGCGCTTTTCGTAAAAAGATTCTTTAAAATATTCTCCAGATCATGACGCCCTTCGTTTGATTTTCAGTTTTGAGAGTTTTGCTGCAAAAAGCTAAATTTCTTTATTCCGTCAATCGCTTTTGTAGGCCAACGCCTCTGTCTTTGTAATTTTAGAAAATCCGGCGCGGAAGTGATATTTTGCGAAGCGCATTTTGTTTTAAGAGTATAGATCAAGATCTAGACCTTCTAATTTTTTGCCTCTCTCAAGATTTATTGCTCCATTCCAGAAGAGTGTAAAAAATAGTAGGCCAATGGCTTTCAGTTTATGTTAATGCACCGATCATTCCTTTCATCGAAAGGGGGTCCAGCTAGTATTATATATGGGCTGAATCAAGTCCCCATTTGTATTCCCAGCTGTTTTCGTAACCCCACCCCAACCCCTAATCACACACACACACACACACACACACACACACACACACACACACACACACACAAATCCCCAACCCATGCACACTTTCCAATCTCTTATAATATCAATGCATTTCACTGAATGCCTCCTCAAGTCTAATACAACAATTTCTTACTCTGTGTGACCACGACTTGCCCATGCGCAACACGTATGTCTCACTGGTATTGTCGGGGGTGGGTGGGGCTTTTTGCTGGCCTATGTGGTATATATTAAGGGTCGAAATTTAAGCTTGACAGTTCAGACTTCGGTTCTTGAGGAGTAAACACCTTACAGGTAAGCTACCTCCGCTGTAAAAGTAATATTATTATTATAAAAGTGTAAACGCGAAATTTTAGTTCTTAGCTCGAAGACTGAGCAAAGTGGTGGTTTATTTTCTTGTCGGGACAGGACAGCCGTCCGTTGTTTAGATTAGTTTTGGAACTTTACAACGAGTGACTTGAGTAGACCTAAATATTTTGCGGCACTATCGGCACGATGATGGACATGTGGGCGCTAAAACTTTTTTAACCCCACCCCCCCCTAAACCCAAACAGATGCACTGTCACTGAATTGTCCAGCAATTGATTAAAAGGACCGACATTTATTAGTAATTAATATATGGCAATAATGCCCTTCTTATCTACAGTTCTATGGTAATGTATACATTATATTTTGAACAGTTATACTTTTTTTGTAATCAAACCAATTTCCTTCACAAAAACCTAAGATTTTCTTCAAGCCAATGGTGTCAAAAGTATTTTGGTATCTCCACATTTTTTAAGGATTTAAAAGGTGCATATTTAAATTCGGCACATTCTACTAGAGTGCCGAACAGTGAAATATTTCTGTCACGATGTAGTGGAATCGGACGCTCGTTAATTTTTGGGCTTGTGGAGTTATTCGTATCACTTTGAAGCTTGTTCGCGTGTCGTGTCTTTGACGAAAAATTTCTCATTACACGTATATATATATTCGTAATAATATGTTTAGTTATGTGTGCCGTTGTAAACCACTTTTTTCCCACGGGGATCGATTTTTAAAAAAAGTAATTTATTTTAAATTTATATCATTTTATTCGTCGAATTTTGTTCTCCAAATCTGGCCACCTACCTTTGATTTTAAGTACTTGGCCGTTTTATCTACATAGAAAGAGGAACCACCCCTTGCCTGAATACATAATTATTATCTTAAGCGCTAATTACCGACCGGTGCAATCTTAAGATTGTTTTAACGATTGTCTAATTGCGCGGCAATCTGAAGATAACGTTAATATTCTAAACATATGTTCAGCGCTAATTCCCGACCGGTGCAATCTTAAGATTGCGCCGCGAGTTTTAACGATCGGCTCAAAGGGTTATAGTTATAGCTCAACGCATGCAGGAGAGAATAAGGACGTTTCCGTGCTTTTCTAGCAGTAACTTACCTTGGATAAAAATTTCAGATTCTCGAGATAGCGAAAGAAAACGTGTCAAAATGTGCGTTGTGACCGAAGTGGTCATACCGAAACAACGCTGTGGCCGTGGAGAGTTGGTAAGGAACGAGAAATGGGGAGATCCTACAGTTTCGGTTTCGATTGATTTGGAGTAAGGTCGTCTAAGACTTTCAATTTCAGTTTCGATTAATCTGGATTATAAGTCAGGTAGATCTAGGCCAACAGTTTCTGTTTCAATTTCGATCCCAGAGACCTATCATTTTTTGTTCAATCAAGTTGACTCACAATAGGTGAACAAGTTCAACAACTTCAACATGGATTTCAACAACTTAGAGGAACAAATGAAAGGAATAAGAGGCCAGCTTTTGGCAGCGAAGACAGGATATGCAATTTCCAAGGGGAAGTATGACGCCATAATCCAGCATCTTAACAATCCGACGTCATTTGTCTCTGCACATTTTAAGGCCTGCGCCGAGAAGAAAAAGTTTTTGATAACAGAATGTACCTGCTCTAGATGTCCTCAATTCCCTTATAGTACCTGCCGAAGAAAAGAACAGACTCCCTGGATTCAATTACAGAGGAGTCGTCCTCGCAGAGAAGATATTTCAAGTTGTCAAAAATATCCACTGCCAAAAAAACAGCATGCCGGGTATAAAAATACCCTGGATCAAGTTCAGCGACTGTTTTACGGCATACCCTGCAGTTAAGTCCAGAGGTTTACAAAGAACTGTCCAGTGTGCAAGCTGTCTGCTTAACAAACGGTTAGACCACCACTGCGTCCAACCATTTCAAAAAGATTCCAACATCGAGTACAAGTAGATCTAATCGACATGCGCCACGATCCGGACGGCGACTCTAAATGGATATTTCATGGAGCATTTTTCTAAGTATCACGTCATCTTTCCCATGTGAAGAAAGACTGCACAAGAGGTAGCTGAGATGTTGCAGCTATCTTGGTGCGCCAAAGATTTTCCACAGCGACAACGGGCGAGAATTCGTCAATCATTCTTGAGGCCCAGCTAGATCAGTGGGGAGGAGGCGTTATCTTTGTCAGGGAACGCCCGCGCTATTCCCAGAGTCAAGGCCTGATCGAAAACGGTAACCAGACACTGGAGAAAAGACTTGGTGCAATAAAAGCCGAACAAGGCATCTGCAGCCAAACACTTTGAGCCTCTTTGCTTCCGCGCATCCAGTATGGACTGAATACTACTGTACAGGAATCAGTGAAGCAGACGTCATACGCTATAGTTTTTGGCCAACAGCCACAGTCTTCCTTTGTGCCAGGCTCATCAGTTCCAATAATTGATGAAGATGACTTGGATGACGAAAACAACCTAAAAGAGTGCCCACCTTTAGCTGACACAGTCCTGTCGTCGCCAGAACCAGTGCCGTGGACAACAGTCTCCAGAGCCATCCCCAGGGACTACCTAGCATCTAGACCCCATGACCCAAGAATCCCCGCATTAAAAAATCTGAGAAGTGGCAAAGAAAATTATGAGGCAAAGGTCCAGACGGTGAAGAATAGGTGGCAGAAGCGAAAAAGAATTCAAGTTCCTGAATTCGACATTGGCGACCGCGTGACAGTCGACATCCCGAAACTAGACAGGGCCAGCAGCAACCCAAGACGCCTGCCAGCCGTAATTACGAACATTATCGGAGACATTGACAAGCGGTATCACCTGGCTACAGAGTTCGGCACGATTGAAAGAACATACCATGGAGGAGAGCAGGTGGAATATAGCGAAATCATCATGCCCAAGACGGACAAGGCCATCACGATGAGAGAAGCGGCAAGACAGGCATATCCGAGAAAACAACCTGCTAAGTTCCACTGCAAGTGCGATAGAAAATGCCTCATAACGAAGTGCCCATGTCGCAACAAGAGAGATGAATGCACAATTCACTGTCATCCCACCCATGCATACTAGAACCACCTCATCAGCAAAACGGATGCCGTCCACAGCAATCTCCTTAAATACGATCAAAATAATTGGTTTACAGACGGACACATTGATGAAGCAAAAGAGCTCATAAAAAAGATCGATCCCACCCCAGACGGGTTACAATCGTCTCTCCTGCTTATAATAAACAAGGCAAAGAAACTGAACAGGTCATTCACGTCAATCAATATAAGATCTGAATCTCGAAAGTCCATGCACCATCCAACCAAGAGGTGATTGTTTACGACTCTCTTTACTGTGACCGCATCTCCAAAGAAATCATTGACAAGATCGCTAGCTTCTTCAAATCTGATAATGACCGTATCATCGTCTAGCTAACCAACGTTTACCAATACACCTACAGTCACGACTGTGGCCCCTACGCAATTCATTCCGCAGTTTCTCTGGCTTATGGTGACGACCCAGTCTCTCTAAAGTATTGTAAAACATCCGTCAACATCTGAACCAGGCCCTCACAACCAAGTTCTTCGGACGAACGCCAGAAGAGTCAGTCTTTCGGTCTAATTCGATTGTGAGAGAGTACGAAGTTAACATCCACTGCAAGTGTCGAGGAACAGACAACGGAACAATAACGATCAAATCGAAATCTTGCATGATGCGGTACCATTTCAAGTGTAGTGGACTGAAACCCGGAGCGAAAAAAGGACATTGTATTTGTGCGACACATGGAAATAAATTAAATATATTTTGTGAACTTTTGTGTTTGAAACCTGGCCTTGTATCCGGCTTGTGAGCTCTTCAGTTTCATATATTAATCTTAATTTTAATTTTGATTTTAATTTTCATGTTTTTACACTTTTGAAAATATAATTTGTGAATGTACCTTGACGTGAGTTAAAGAGTAAAGATGGAAGCGACTTTTTTTTTAAGTTTCAAAAAGATAAAATATTAACGCAATCTTCAGATTTCCGAGCAATTATGCGGTCGTTAAAACGCGCAGCGCGATCTTAGTATTGCACCGATCGGAAATAAGCGAGGAACATAATTTGTTCGGACGAATGTGTCTTCAGCTTTTGTTATAAATCAGTTTTGAATTTTGGCCAGGTGATTGCCCGAAGAGCCTTCTCTATTCGATTTCTAGAATCGACAAAGGATTCTAAACTCCTTCCATACCTTGCACCTATAACACCGCTGCCTTTCTGTACACCCTATGACTAGATGCTGATAGACTTGGGTGCTAAAAGAGTTAACGTGCGAAACTTTCACACGGGACCTCCGTCGTCTTGTTCTATATATTTCAGTATTTCCCACTCGGAATTTCAATCTGCGAAAAGGAAAATGTCCTTTTTCTCCGGGTCCTCGTCCCTGTCATCAGCTTCTTCCTCGTCAAGGTCGGCAGCTGTTTTCTCATCCCTGCCGGCAGCTACTCCACCGTCAAAGGAGGACAAAGCTCACAACCTTAAGGTTCTGAAGAGTTTGTCCCCAGGAGACAGAGTGGAGTTCAAGAGAGGCGTGTTTTCTCACTGGGGTTTGTATATCGGTAAGCCCCTTCAGTTTTCACCTTAGAGTTGGATTATAAATGTCCTACACCGGACACTGTCATGGCCGATGTGGGTTTTTTTGTGTTTTGTTTTGTTTCTGTTTTGTTTTTTGGGGGGTTGGGGGGTTGTGGTTGTTTTTGGGGGTTTTTTT